TGATTCCACTGACTCATACAGGCTTTTCCCATTTACTCTACTGTCAGTGGAACGACTGTAGATTTACATCAGTGTAATTGGGAGTAAAAGTTGGCTTTTTAAGTCTTCTACTTCTATTTTTAAAATCTTCTCTGTCAAGTTTCATAAAGTCAGATGTGAAGATGAATTTATTGTTTAAGCTTCTTTTTCCTGCAGGCAAAAAGCTTAATCAGTTTTTTCTACTGACCTTGTCTTGTCTAAAGATGAGTCAATGAATCAAGTTATGAATGATATATCATGAATAAATGATTTATGCCTGGTCAGATCAAATATGATGTATTACTTAGGTCCTTGAATATTATTGCATATAAAGATTTATCTGAAGTGTCATACAATTGGTCAGGGAGAGAATTCTTAAGTCTTCGTACATCCTCTTGGAGAAAAAAAAGAAAAAAAAAAAAGAAAAAGGGGGTATGTTACTGTTCTCTGACAAGAGACATTTATCTTGCAAAAATCTTCCTCTGACAAAGGCTTAGGAAGGACGGCCCAGCAGGTATGGTTCTCTGCTAGAACGCGGGGGGTCCCGGATATGCCTGTCTTCCTGATTCTTTACAAAATCCCTTCACGTCTATAGGGTGTCATGACACAGATTAGAGTAGAGATTTGGATGTGCTTATATGACTATTTTTTCCAAATAAACTTATTTGCTGGTTTAGTATAGCTGTCTATCTCAGCATTCATCATATAGATTATTCATTATTGACTGCTAGCAATGTTAGAATGCAAACATATTTTCTGGCTGAAGTTTTTCAGAAAGTATCACCAAACAGCAGTAACCACTGCTCCATCTTACAGAAGATTTTATTACAATCATAGCATACCTGTAAAGTAGTTCCTCAGGCAGACTGCATTAGAAATCTCCAAGGTGTGCAGGGTGAGGCCTGGTCATAGCACTGAATGATCTTCAGAAAGCAAACTGGTGCTGAAAAGTTATTAGAATATACAAATATACAAAGCCTACAGCATTTTGAAGATATAAAGAGGTGTATCAACTCTTTCAACTTCATGCTGTTCATCCTCACTGACATAACACACCTTCCCAGCTACACTTGATACTGACCCTAACATATTCGATCACCAACTAGATTGCACTTTGTTATAGAATGTTCTAGTGTCTATTCAATGAGCTACTTATCATGGACACATTCACTTTTATTGATTCAGGAATTACAGACTGGTAGGCATCAATATGTAATTTGAAGCAAATTACTGTATTCTGAAAAGGATTTGTTCTCAGAAATATTTATAGATAACAGAAAAGTTGTAGAATCATTCTGAGATAGTTCCCATATTAAAAAAAAAAAAAAAAAGGGGGCAGTAGAACCAGCAGGAGCTGAATAGACAGTTGTTTATTACCTATGGAATTTGTAAGCCTCATAGAAGTAATGGGGCCAACCCTCTGGCAAGTATTTTTGCACTGTTCTGTCACTGGACCTAAGCATTTGCATTCAGTTTACACATTTGCACCGACCAGAGTAAATTCCTTAGATGGTTAAAGAAGTAACTGAGGCAGAATTCCACCAGTCTAAAAGTACTCAGTGGGAGATACAAAGATAGCTGAGGGAAAAAAAAAAAGGAAACCATGATGCTGCAAGCTGCCACTGTAAATATTTCTCTCAGAATGTAATGATAAAATATCAGTGGAGTATGCCATGGAACATCAAGATAAATTCTTCATATATTAATAAAAATGTTACATGCCACAAATTTATGTATTGAATTTTCATACTTTAAAAAGAATTATTTAAAAAGCTGCCTTTTTATTTGAACTTCTGCTTTCCCTGCTATTTCATAATAGTGAATGATAATGAAGTTGTCACTTTACATACAGGATAATAAATTGCCTTATTATGAATACAAGGCTACTACTTACTCATAGGGCCCTGATTATGTTAGGCTAGGAGAGCATGACAAGCACTTTATGAATGGCAGAGTCCTAAAAGTGAACTCAGTTGGTGTTCATTACAGGGTCATTCTGCTAGCATTTGTAATGTGAACTTCACATGTGGGGGTACCAGATCATTTTTCTTGCTCACTTCAGAAGCAACATCTGCATATCAAGGTCCCCCACTACAGTTCTGCATCATCATTTTGGATAACATAGTGATCTTTCACTATAGGAAATGCAGTGACACACGACATATGTGGAAACTTACTCAGCTAATTTGACCATCTTTCATCTGCAGTCCCATGCTGACAAACACCTGCCTGTCACCCAGGCTAGACAAATCCATCTTTATGGATCTCTGTTATAATTCAGAGGAAAAACACAAAAATAAACCTAGAAATGTCAACCTTTTAGTGGTAGGTGCTGACAACAAACACTTTTCTCCTGGCTTTTCTGGATGCTGCATTCTAGTTTGGAATTCAACAGTTCCTTTTGATAGGTGTTAGATATTTCAGAGTCTGAGAAGTCATTTGGCAGTAGGTCTTCTCTTGCTCTACAGCTTACACATATCAGTGCTACTTGATCTTAAACCACTGTGTTTAACGTTAAGGTTTTTATGCTCTCTGCTGTAACAGCCTCTACAAGTTCATTCCATCAATTCAAAGGCATTATTTCAGGTGTTTTGTCTTCAATATTGATGTAAAATTATCCCTTTTTGCTTCATTTTACATAATCATTCTACAACTTTCATTCTAAACTGCAGGATCAACAGCTATATGAACGCATACTGTCTTAAGCTTTATATTTTATCTTTCCATATTTTCAACTCTTGAAGTACATCTCTAACTACAATTTTCATAGAAATCATACTTTCCCTTCTTCCTGTAGAAGAGACAATGACAGAGTTCTTATCATCACCTTCTCAAGTCAAGGCTAAGGGATACAGAATGCCACTATCTGGCATTCTGGTTTATATTATACAGTATGAAAGCAGCTTATGCTCACGGGATGGCAGGTAACTTTTTGTTCAAGGGAGAAGTCAAATCTGTAAGTACATTAGCCACTATAAACCAATGGCATTGTCATTAAAGGAAGGTGAACATTGGCATGGTATTCATTCTGTTCTTTTTTTGTGCAGTAAAAGCAACCCTTACCCAATGGGATAATTCATCTCTGGCATATCACTGACCTCAGCTGAAATACACTGAAGACAAATTCAAGACATTGACTAGAAAACCTTACTAGATTTCTCTTGAAATGAGACTGTCAAACAATGTCAGAGAGTGCTTCTCCCATTTGTAGCTCAGCCTCAAACAAGTGGATGAGATCTTCATTTGATGTACGCTGGCAGTCTCATAGGACTGATCCTGGTTCACAGGATTTGAGATGCAGCCCAGAGCTTCTTCAGCTCAGAGAAGACAACTATAAGCAGAAAGAGGCTGAAGTAAGGTCAGTGGACTCTTCAAGGTCACTTTGCTGAGAGAACTATCTGCTTTGCTGACACAACAAAAGACTTAATGCTTTTTAAACTCACTTATTTAGACCTAGCTTACCTTATCTAACTCTTGGACCACTCACTCTCCTTCTTGCCTGTTAGGAATAAAGGGGTGTTTCTGGGAGAAAGCTGCTGTTACTAAGTATCTCAAAATTGATTCTTCTCTCGGTGCCATTTCCTGCCGATGGAAGATAGAAGGTTAGCTTTCACAGGCCTGCTTTCTCTTTCAAAGAGGTTTGCTACTGTAACTAGTTTTAGTCTATCCTCTCGTCTCATACCTTGCCCTTCCCACTGTAAAAATCAGTGCGGGGCGATCCATTCTCACTGGTCTACAGCACATTCAGAACAGCTTCAGGGCTGGTTAAACAGGATCAGTTCTTCCAGCAAGAATCAGACCTCTACTTTTTGCTTTCTGTTACAGTGAAATCTTCAAACAGCAGCTGCCTTTCCCAGTGCCTATTTTTGTCACTCTGAGGACTTTCATCCCATTCTGGTCAGATTGTGCTGGATTCATTGTTTCTGCTTCCATCCTACTCATAAGATAGCACACAAACGTTAAACGGTGACAGTGTCAAAGTACTCATTACTTCATTTGCATGGTTACCATATCTAATGCTTCACATAAAATGCAAACGCCTTCATAATTACACACGGACTCCATTCTAATGTGGATCTCTATGCTACTAGTTGAGAAGGAATACAAGTGCAAAAGATGCTATAGAGCTAGCTGAAGGCTAAAGGAAAAAGTGGAGAAGATTTTTTTATATTTCCATTCTTTCAGACAAATGCATTCTGTACAAAGCTTGGCTACTTGGAACTATTATAACATATTAAAAGTGTATATGCAATATATGTAAATAACATGTATATATACCTATATATAATTTCATTGTTCCAATAGATATGTGATGAAAGAAAATAGGGTTTAAATCTCCCAGGCAAGGCCACAGAAGATTTTGACACTAAAGCAAAGAATATTTGACTTCAATTCTGTTTTCCAGTGATACTGACTTGTTCAGATCTATCAGTAGGAATGGAAAGTCAGATTCTTACACAAGTTGATATACAGCTGACTTTTATTTTCATGGCACGTTTACATGGCTTAAAGAAAACATATTGTGAATGTTTCACAAATTAGTCTTTGACATTCCATGAGATATTATAGTCAGAGCCACAGTATGTACAGAGCTAACGTACCAAACCAGATTTACATTCTAGCCATTATTAAAAACATCTGAAAGGTATCAATTTAATTTTTAATCTGGTGAGCAAAACGGCAATTAAAAAAAAAAAAAAAAACAAACCATCATCAACAACAAAAAACCAACAACAACTGAAACTATACAAAATTGAAATAAAATACGAAAATACACATTCATTTTACAATGACACTATTACATTATACCTCTCAAGTGCTTCATTAGTAAAGAAAAGACTTAAAGTTATCCTATACAGAAGGGCTGCTCTGAAAGTCATGCCTCCTATTTTATTTTGTTGACTCGTGATGTCTAGAGTTGGTGGTATGGCAGTACAGGTCGAATATTCCCAAAAATATTCCATTCCATTTTGTTGCTGTGAGACAGATGGCAGCAGAGGGGCAGACTGACAAAATGGTGTCTGACGTGAAAGTGTGTATGAAGCAAAGGTGTGACACTGAATTACTCCATGTGGGAAAAATGGCACCCATTGCCATTCATTGACACTTGCTGAACATTTATGGAGATGAAACAGTGGGAGGTGAGTAGTGCATTTCAGCAGCGATGACACCAGGTCACCTCCGCTGAAGCAGATTTTTACAAGTGCAGCATGCAGGCTCTTGTTTACTGCTGGTAAAATGGTGGCGACTACGCTGAAAAATAACATTTTGTAGCTAAGAGTTTGCTCCAAGAAATAGTTATTGTGCTCTATCTGTATTGGTTGCTGTTTCCTTGGAAACAAACAGGAGGCACTACTTTCTAAGCAACCTAAGTACTCTTAGCAAAACATGGAATTCTTATTTTCATGAGACATCTATGTTAGGACTTCAGGACCTCTGATCTACAGGAAAAAACTGATCATCTAAATTTCATATAATCTTGACATTTCATCCAGATTTTCAGAACTAATTGGTCTCTTTCTTCAAATAGCATTCAAAGTTGTTTTTCTCTTTCTTCCCATGTGTTTGGTTTTTGTATGTCTTATGCTGAATGCTTAGGAGTTTGATCCAAAGTATCTGTTTTTGAAAATTGTGATTCTCAGAAACATACAGGGACAACTTCTTTACACATGAAAGACCAGTATCAATGCTAGTTATCTATCAACATCTGAAAAGTGGATAATTCCAAGTTTACCTGTCAGATCCCAGTTTCTGAGGTTCTGTCTAGCTATATTTTTCTTTCTTATGCTTCTCCTTCTTCCAAGTTTCTATTATACTTTAATGCCCTGGGATCCATGTTACCAAATCAGCAGCTTGAGAGGCATATGTTACAGCTCACCGGCAGAACGAATTAAAAAAAAGAAAGCAAAAACAACAAAAGAGCAAATGAATATAATTCCAAATCATTCAGTGCAATGTACACTATACAAATCTTCATATTCCAGTTCAATTCCTAGAAAAAAATGCAACTATGGAAAAAAAAGTCTAATTCACAACCACTTTCAAAAGATGTCTATCACTGAATTCCAGTCCACAGTGCCTTCTTGTACAAACACTGTCACAGACTGCAAAAATTATATTCATAGCACAAATAAGTAAAATGTACTTCTTAATCAAAATACGTACAATCTACTTACATTAATAGTTAACGTTACCTTTTCATTATGCTATGTTATAAACGTACAGTACATACTAAGTAAATTAGTGTTGCAAATACACTGTTTTATTCAGACTTGACATTTTATAATGCATTATACAAATCACCTTTCATTGCACATTTCCGCATAATATGATATTTATTGGTTTCCAGGAATCGCTGCATCAAGATTATATTACTGTGTGTTCAAAAAAACTAGTTACTTAATATTCTGAATTGACTACTATCAGTTGTGGTACTGTGATTTTACTACATGAAAATTTGGATGTAGATGGAATGAAGTCATCATTCAGGCATCCCACATGCTGTGTCAAACATAACACAAGTTGACAGCAGCTCCCTTGAATACAAAAGGCAGAAATGCTTCCATATTCCATCTGATTAGTTAAAATCTGTAAGGTGTTATGCGACATAAAAATAATAGTTCATACTGAGACTAACACGATCACTGATAAGAGCATTTGAGCATTAATCCTCAGAGGTACAGCAATGAGCAAACACAAGTAGGTATGAATGCAATGCTAATATCTGGCCTTAGGCAGAAGAATATTACTTGGTAGGCCTGTACTAAAACCTTCCAGACTATCTGTTCAAAATATCTTCACTAACATATATCTCTCTGCATACAAATAGTTAACACACTCCCACATGAAGTGTTGCTTGAATTCATTATATATTCATTATATATCCGGTGGATATGGAATTATATTTATTTTCCATTAGTTTCAGAATACCAAATCATAATTTATGTGATAAGGGTATGCTGCACATTGGCTTGCATAAACTGCAAATGGAAAGCAAAGAGAATTTGTATTCATCTTATCTGCTTTAAGTATAAAATATTAAGTACCTCCTTACTTCTTCCTCTAGTGCATTCATTGATTACAAGATGTTTCAGCTGTTGAGAACAGGAAATAAGACTACATGAAAAAAACAACAGTGTTCCACTACCATTTCTTCAGAATCTTCTGTACAAAGAGTGAAAACTCCAAAAATCCTGGAAGTATTTGCAGAGTATCTTATTGAACTTTTTAAGGACAGTGGGGAACAGCATCCTGACCTTGGCCAGACTTATCCATCCTACTTCAGAATCTTTCAGATCAGTACCAGGACTGTACTACATATAGAAGCTGACTGGGGATACAAGGGTCCCATTATAAACTGCGGGAGCACACTGCTAGCTCAGACAACACCTGTATTAAGAGTTTGTAGCTGGTGCTAAGAGAACTGAGTGTTACAGTGCCGTATCACCAGCGTGCTCCAACTAGAACAATTTCAAATGAGGGAAAATTAGCAGGTCAATACAGTATTATCACACCACCGTATTTGTTCTCTTTAGTACCTGAAAGCCTAATACTGCCTACTTCCACTGCCACTTGGCAATAGCAGCCACCCAAGCATGTTGTATCATATAAATTCACAGCTCAGTAAATGACTTTCTTTCAAGATCTATGCTTTAAAATACCACTTCTAATTGTATCAAATAATCCACGAGTGACCAGACAGGAAGACCTCGCATTGTCTTAAGACATGGTAAGCTTTCCATAAACACTAGAGACAGCAGGCATTTAGAAGAAAAATAAAGAGCAAGACTTCATTTTCAAAGGCTTCTTGGAAAATAAATCAGAGATAAGTAGCTTAAACAAAACCAAATAATCTTTTTTAACAAAATGGATTAGGCTGACAAGTAACTATATACTGCATTTTCGTAGCAAAAGTTGTTCCTCACCCATACTCTGATTAAATTTCTCACTGTAAGCCCTTGTATTAATTCCAATCTGTGAAGCTCATAAGAGAACGTGTACATTAATCCACGCTGACATTTATAATAACTATTCAGTTAATGCTAAATTATAATACATCACTTGCATGTACACATTTATATATTGCCCTGTGGGTTTATTTTAATTCACCAAGAGACTCCCCAGATTCTCCTTAATGTAGTAATCTACATTGAGAGACTTAAACAGAATAGACTAAAAACAACATTCTGTTATTAAAACTTTGGGGAAATTCCACAGATGGTAGCCAAATCCTGCTGACCTTACTCATGAAGAACCGTAGCTTAGTATGTGGTCATGGTAAAGTCAGTCCCGCTGAAAGAAACAGACCATGCCAGTATGACTGAATGGAAACAAACTTCCAATGAATCTCAATCTACAATGTACATATTTTCCACTTACGATGAGTGTGTAGACACGATGAGAGACAGTGGGATTAAAATTAAGAAAAAACAATGTTGGGTCTGATAGCACCACTGTTTTAGAAAATATACAGTCCAATTCAGACACTTGTAAATAATTTGTTACTGATCTGCTTTCTCCATGAGTCTTCATTATTTTTAGGCACTTCCTTGGTTCAAGTGTTCAAATTCAAGTACATTTTTGTGCATATGGCTTGAGTCTTCCATCCATAATCATTTAAAATACTGAAATACAGGAGCCAAGTTTCACTTCTGCTCTAAACATCTTTTTCTTCTCATATACTATATACACCTTTTGTTTGTACATAGCCATTATTTAGTGAAAGGTGGCGTGTACATGGCCAGAAAAAAAATCACATGCTGTCATACTACCTGTTTTATTTTGCCAGCAGCTAGTACCACCTCTGGTTAAGTTTCTTTACCATTTTTTAATATTCATTCAGCTTTAAAAAATTTATATCAAAACTTTCAAAATTACTTTTTGCCTACATTGGTACTTACGAGGAAATTTCCTGCAGAAATGATCCAGAAGCTAAGATAATTTTTTTTTTTTTTTTGGTCTACTTCCATTCAGAAAGTTACAACTGAAAAATTGCAGTTTGTGCATGCTCAATAGACACTACTTTGAATTTAACAGATGATATCTCCTTATATTTATCCCTTTGGATTTGACCAGGACTTTTGGCTTTCCAGCACTTTCAGTACAGTAAGCTGTACTAGGAATTAGAATCAAAACTTACGAAACCAAGTGAGCAAATCTGCTACCACTCTTTGCAGCTTTCCACTGAACTCAAGCACAATGGGCAAAGAAGCTGAACTGATTCAAATACAGAGTCAGGTCTAGATGTGGTGAGACAAAGGACACAGGGACAAATACCTCATTGATACAGGAAAGTCAGCAAAAAAAATCAGGGATCTGACATAAAAGGAAAACTGAAATGACTGACGTGCAATCCTATATCTGTATGGATGACAAGTCATTTTTACCATAAATACAACCTTTAATAGACAGTAACTAGTTACTTATTCTCTATGTCTGAGACCTTTACTTGCCATACTAGAATCTCTATCCCAAATTTTATGGACTCAGAGCTCCATCAGAAGACACTTTCCTACGTTCTGAGCATTTGCAATGCTTTATAAGGTTAACTGCACTCAAACTTTGGGTCTTAAAATGAGATTTGTTTCCTATCACTCACATTTCTCAAAATGGTGGAATACCAATAAAATGCTGGAGAGCCAAAGGGAATGAACACCTTCCACTCTATACTTGTTTCCTGAGATAGAGTTCATAACATTTGTCAGAGGTATCCCTTTCTGGGTAACAGAGATAACAGCTTACCACATAAGGCTTTTGAGAAACATTTCAACTGCTCCCTTGAAAATGCAGGCCCGGACTTAACTGCATTTGTTGCATTTAATAGCTTTTAAAGCTAGAATGACCCATGCAATTACCTTGCCTGTCTTTCTACATAACACAAAATACAGAATTGCACCGAGCTCCTGAAGTTTGGTCAACGTAGATACATTCATAGAATATAGCTGCCCATGTGCTCTCTGCATTTTCTCCCTGCATTTTCTAATGCATCTTTTGTTCTCAGCGAGTCTCTTGATGTGTACAGAAACCCTATGACTGGGAACCAGGCACTGTGAAGATGTCAGAGAATAAAAAAACTAGTCTCTACAACTTCAAAATAATCCTTATGTCTTGAAATACAAATTTCCTTATATACATTCCTTATATACTTTCTTCATATACTTTCCTTTGCCAAGAGTTGATTGAAATGATTGTTATTCTTTGAATGTATGTTTAATTAACTTATCAATAATTTAACAACTAAAAAATACAGGGAGAGATTTGGAGAAACTGTAACTATGGAAGAAAAAAACCATTTTCTTATTATGAGGGTGACCATGCACTGGAACCTGTTGTCCAGAAAAGTGGTAGAATCTCCATACTTGGAGATATTCCCAGGAGCACTGGACATAGTCCCTTCCTGAGAAAGCAGCTCTAGGTGACCCTGCATGAGCAAGAGACTAGATGACCTTCAGAGGTCCCTTCTGTGATATCTGGGAGATTGAGCTGTTCCCTACCTACTGCTTCAGGAACTCAAGTCAGCTAAGAGCAACCTTTTATACCTCCCGACTGAAATACTTTCTAAAAGGAAAGTGAAGCAGTGCAAGCTAATTTTTGCATGTAGTTATTATTTACATTGGTGTTTATGCAGATGCATCATATCACTGCAAGTAAATTAGTATTTCTACAATGTTTTCAAGATACAATGCATTTGCATATTTGTGTGTTTGCATATTTGCACAGACACTGTATATCAAAATAGCCTTGTTTTTCTTGGATGATAAAAGCAATTCACTGCCTTTTTTAAGGGTAGTACTCAAAATTCAGCTCCCATGCACTTATTATTCATCTGAGTTGATTATACTTTAGTTTCTTTATGTACTCTCTAAAATATGCA